CCGAAACCAGACACAGGGGGTGTTTTTTCCATTTATGTCAGGGAATTTTCCGCCATATTCAATCAAATGGTTTAAAAAACAGATATGAAATAGATGCTGACTTTGCAATGAAAATGAAAATGCTTCCTGCATTAGCCTTTGTACCTGAAGAACATGTAATTCAGTATTTTGAAGTTTTGTGCAACGGAAATGTGTTCCCTGAAGAAGCACAACCCGTAATAGATTATTTTGAGGACACGTGGATCGGTCGCCCAAATCGAAGATATCGACGTCCACCTCGTTTTCCTTTAAATATTTGGAATTGTTACGAAGGTACTCTTGAAAGTAAACCAAAAACTAACAACAGCGTCGAAGGTTGGCAAAGAGGTTTCCAAGAGTTACTTTCGTCGAATCACCCTAGCTTTTGGAAATTTATAAATGCTATCAAAAGACAACAAAGCTTTAACGAGTTGAAAATAGAACAATTTTTATCTGGCATTGAACCTTCAATGGGTAGTCGTAAATATCGCGATTGTGCGGCAAGAATAGGGCACATAGTGCAAAATTTTGAGTACAACGTAAATATTGAAGGATATGTTCGCAGTCTTGCTTACAACATTGGTTATTAAGTGTGTGGAAGTGCAATAGCTTACTTTGGATAAAATATTTAAATAAAAGTTGTTATATTTGCGCAGGTACACATTTCTAAAATAATTTGAGATAGCGAGACAACATGAAGTAAGCTTTTTTTAAATAGGACACCCTGTATATTTGTTTACCATCGAATTCAGCGTAAAATTCTGCATGAACACCTAGTATATTATTTTTTTAACTTATAAAACTATTTTATCCCTTCAAATTGTTTGTACAAGGTACTCTCTAAAATTTACTGTTTTTAAGAAAATTGCATTTTTAGTTTATGATTTAAAAATATTCATGTTTGCACTTCCACACACTAATGGGCCACCCTGTATATTTGTAAATAAAGTTAAATAAATTTATTCTAAGTATAAACACATTTTATAGTGCATTTAATAATTTTGTATTTGTAATAATTTAATAAATTTTCTTTAAATAATTTATTTTCTTATTTAGAGGAATTGTCTTTTCGAGATATTGTTATTCGAGTAACTAGGCATTCGAGGAATTGTCCATTCGAGGAAGTATTTTTCGAGCAATTGATTTCGAGCAATTTTCTTTCGAGCAATTCTTTTCGAGGAATTTTCCGTCACCCCTTTTAACAACTTATAACGTCAAACCACAAAATAAGTTAGTATTTCATTATGTGCTTCAAACAAGTAAAAGATTCTAAACGTCAAAAATTCCAAAGCCTCTCAACCATTAAATTTAATAATTGCGTAGGATATTGTTCGAACATTTAAATGTTCATTTATCTTTCGATTAGAATGGTAAAAAAAAAGATAATGGTGCGTCATGCTCTCACAAATAGTAGAAACATCAACAACTATTAAATTTAAGTAATATTTAAAAAATAGATGTTTTTCTTCAACCTTAAGTTTTCTAATATATAACGGAAATAAAATAATAAAAAGGGCGAACTTATAGAGGTTAGGGCTCGTATAATACCGGGTGTCCCATTATATTTACCAACATTAAGCAAACTTATATAACTTTTAAACGAAAGTACTTAAAAACATGTGGTTTTCACCAAAATGTTTTATTTCGGTCAATCCAAAATTATTTAGCACTTCCGGTTTACTGAAAAACAAATTGGCGGTTTTTTAAAGACGTATTTTTTAATTTTTTTTAATGAAACACCGTATATTTTTTCATGCTCCGTAAGCTAGTCTTTTTAGCTATCTGGCGATATAAAGTTTTTTGAAATCGATGAAGAAATGACTGAACAATTTACTTTTTTGAAAAAGACTGCAAAATCAATAATTAATAAAAACTCTCATCAATAATTTTATAGTAGGCTTTGGTACGTTTGTAAGAAATGTCAAAATTGTTGTTTTAACTGTTCTAAAAGCTTAGACTGAGGTTTCAAGTGATTCTTTTTACATTAAAAAGTTATTTTCTGAAATAGAGAAGGCAAGTATCATAATTAATTTTGCTGAAACAAAATCTATTATGCGAACAATACGATTTTTTTTAGATAATTTAATAAAATAGCATCGACACACAAGACAATAAAATAAGTGGTTTAACATTTTTAAAAATAATGGATTACTAGCTCGAAAAAAACGAAATATCGGCAATGATAGTATTTTGCAGGATACCATTGGTGTATACGAGTTTGTTACTAAATATCCCAAGTCATCTATCAGAAAAATAGCATCACATTTTAATATGAATAAATCCAAAGTTCATAGAATCTTACAAGCACTGAAACTGAAACCTTACAAAATTTAAATACACCAAAAATTATACGAGAGAGACAAAGAAAAACGTCTATACAGGGATTTCATTTCAAAACTAGCCACCCAAAATAACTGTTAAAATATCTTTAAAACAAAAAACACGTTAATTTATATTTACGGGGAGACACATTTTACAAGTATCTGTAACCGTGCAGTTTCATCCCCTAAGCGGTGGTGAATATCACTTCTAAATTTTTAAATAGAAAGGGGTATCATGTGATAGCTCTTCTTAAAGGTCTCTTTTTTTCCAATCTTTTGACACATTATTTTTTTAAATCGGATTAATTTTTTACCAAGTTATGCCATTTTAACCTTTTAAATTAAAATAATTATTATTTACATTATATTTACATTATTAATATTTTATTTGCGTAAGAATTACATTGTACTTAAAATGTCCGCCATTATTGACAAGGCAATGGTAAAGTCGCAGCTCGAATTCATCCCGCACTTTTTGAAGCGTCTCTGGTGTAATCCGCTCACACTCCTCCACTATTCTACGTCTAAGTTTAGGAGTATCGCGAGGTTGAGTTTTATACACCACAGTTTTTAGATGTCCCCATAAAAAAAGTCAAGGGGCGTTAGGTCGGGTAATCTCGCTGGCCATTCTATAGCGCCCCTTCTTCCGATACATTTATCTGCAAATGTCTAATTAAGCCAATTTCGTACATACAGGCAAGGCATAATGTGAAGGTGCTCCGTCTTGTTGAAAAAATAGGTTTTCTTCGTCTAGTAACAAATTTCCATCTTGATCTATTTGGTTTTCTAAGGATTCGGTTATAAGAGGATTTATCAGATTTCTAATAAGTTCAAATACAATTCCCCAAGTTAAATTTTCCTCTATGAAAATAGGACCAATAATTTTATTACCAATAATTCCGGCCCATACGTTGATTTTCTGAGGATATTGGATGTGCTCTTCCCGAAAAACATGTGGATTTGTATTGTCCCAGTACCTACAATTATTTTTATTGACAAATCCATTTAAAAAGAAACCTGCCTCGTCAGTAAAACAAATATTTTTAATAAAATTATGAGAATAAACCATTGTCAAAATTAAAGTGTCAGTACACAACGAAACCAATAATTTACTAATAATAAATTATTTTAATTTACGGTCAAAAATATCTTACGCAAAAAACATTTAAGGCTTTTTGCTAACTTGTTTATCTCGGTATTTATACTCATGCATTTTAATTCAATATTTTTTCCGGTTTCTAGGTTATAACTTGGTGAAAAATTAATCCGATTTAAAAAAATAATGTGTCAAAAGATTGGAAAAAAAGACACCTTTAAGAAGAGCTATCACATGATACCCCTTTCTATTTAAAATTTTAGAAGTGATATTCACCACCGCTTAGGGGATGAAACTGCACGGTTACAGATACTTGTAAAATGTGTAAATATAAATTAACGTGTTTTTTGTTTTAAAAATATTTTAAAAGTTATTTTGGGTGGCTAGTTTTGAAATGAAATCCCTGTATATGTGTGAGATGTTATTGGACTTGATAAGAAACAAACCTGAGCTCCTTTAAATAATGTCTGATGAAGCAAGTTTCCATGATAATGGAGCCGTCAATAGACACAACTGTAGAATTTGGAGTGAAGAGAATCCACATAAATTTTATGAAAGTGCAAGAGACTCTCCTAAAGAGATTGTTCGGTGTGCTGTGAGTAAATACAAGATTTACGGGCTATTTTTTTGCCCAAAAAATAGTTAGCGGTCCAATTTATACGGATATGTTAGAAAAAAATTTTTACCCCCAAATTGACCAGGATGGAGAATTACATGAAATCTGTTTTCAACAAGATGGACAAGATGGACCACCTTCCCATTATTCACTAATTGCTCGTCAATCAGTTTCTAATAAATTCGATAATAGTTAGATTGGTAAGGCAGGACCAGTTGAATGGGCTCCAAATTCGCCAGACCTAACAGTGCCAGATTTTTTATTTGGGGATATGTTAAAGCTTTAGCTTATAATCCTGCACCTCAAAATTTAGAAGAGCCAATACGTCGAGCATTTGAAAGCATTACTCCCAACATGTTAGAAAAAGCATATACAAATTTATTAATACGTTTACACAATTGTGTTAATGTAAACGGAGGACACATAGAACATTTAAATTATTTTTAAATTGTTTAATAAAAGTTTGTTAAAATGGTAAATAAGTTAATTAGGCTATACTAGAATATCATTAAGAAGCAATAATTATTGTTGATTATTGATTTTGAATACATTTTCACAAAAATTATTGATGAGAATTATTGTTAATTATTGATTTTGCAGGCTTTTTTAGAAAATTTAATTGTTCAGTCATTTCTTCATCGATTTCAAAAAACTTTATATTGCTAGATAGCTAAAATGACTGGCTTTTAGGGAATCAAAAAATATACAGGGTGTTCCATTAAAAAAATTAAGAAATACGTTTTTAAAATACCGCCATTTTGTTTTTCAGTAAACCAGAAGTGCTAAATAATTTTGGGTTGATCAAAATTAAACTTGGAATAATTTGATACATTTCGGTGAAAACCGCATGTTTTTAAGTACTTTCGTTTAAAAGTTATAAGCTTGCTAAATGTTGGAAAATATAATGGGACACCCAGTATGTTCTGCAAATATTATTTGTTTTACTTACTTCAAATCTTTTGGGTGGTTCAGCATAGGGAATTCCTTGAAAAGCATAATATTCCATTTGTAGTCCTTCGGTTAAATCAGTTCTTCCTAATATTTTTCCTCCTTCGATCTTTAATTCAATTGTCTATAAACAAATTATTACTAATTACTTATTTAAAAATTATATATATTAAAACTATAAAACTAATATTTGATTAAATTAGCTTTGGATTCCGGAAAAACAATTTATTAATAAGGATTATTAGGATATGATTTCGTTACGACTTCTGATGGTAACAGCCAGCCGTTACGGTCAAATGTTTTTGGGTCTGCAGAAAACTGTTTCTGTTTTCTACAAGGTAAAAATCTATGATATATCTGAAATTTTGCCGTTCGTAATTAACAGACTTAAAAGTGCCACTGGCTTATCTATCAAAATATTCTTAAACTCAAAGACAAAATAACATTTGCAGATGTCCAATTGAAACTCAGAGTAGGAAACATAACAATAACAAATGTGCGCATGAATAACAGAGATCATCAATAATGGAATTAGAATATAAATAAAAATATAAATTAAACGTGAAAAATGAAAGTAACTTGGCAACGTTGTTCTAGCTTAAAGATTCATGTAGGAAGGCTAATTGTCATTATCGATACTTGTCAAATTAAACCAGTAAATAATTATTTCGCTTACTTTTCAGTAATAATAAAAATATTTCGTTACAGTGTTTTTTTATGCCTAACATCCTTAAATGCAACACGCGGAGTTTAAAATAAATAAAGGATCAGGACCCCTTGAGTTCAAAATCCCACGATATTTTCTGTGGAGACTACGTAGGGAACAACATTATTTATGGCCTTATTTCCAATGAAAAAATAATTAATATTTTATTATAAAAGTATCATTCCAGTTTTCAACACCGGCCCGGTGTATTTACACGTTTGAATACTTTAAATAGCAACAGGGGCAAATTGATATATTATTTAAAAATTATTTAAATTCTATTTGTAATTTTTATTATTTAAAAAAATATATCTAAGTTTAGAGTCATGGCATCATATCTAAAGAGGACGTGACATTTATAAAGGAAATTTTTTGCTTAAAAATTACATTAGTTATGCAAATCATACTATTATCTTTTATTTTTAATAAAACATGATGAACTGCATAATTTGGAGTTTTCCTTTTTAAATAAGGTGTAATAAATATAACTAACAAAAAAGATTAATAATAAAAAAATAACAGTAATTGCATATATTTAAAAGAAATCATAAGGACGTGTGCGTAAAGAGTTTTTATTTTAGTATTGACAGTTTTTATAAAAATAATAATGAGTATATTAAATATTTAATTTAATTTAATTTTTTTTTAATTTAATCATATATTTTTATAGTTATTTCAATCCAGTTTAAATATTATATTAATAAAAATTATTGTGAAATCTTATTATCCGTTGACGAAAATTATTTAAGTTCCTAACGATCCAGCTAAGTTGGCTGTGGATGACTGACACACTTCTTTATTTAATTTGACATTTTAACTTTAAAAATCAAGAACAATATCAGTATTCAAAAATATACGGCAGCGTAGAAGGGCCACATTTTTTAATTTTTTTTATTTCTAAAATTCCGTGTTCGAACACGGAATTCCTTGTTTAAACACGGAATTCCGTATTCAAACACGGAATTCCTTGTTTAAACACGGAAATATAAAATGACGTGTTCGAACACGGAATTTCCGTATTCAAACACGGAATTCCTTGTTTGAACACGGAAATATAAAATTCCGTGTTAGAACACGGAATTTCCGTATTCGAACAAGGAATTCCGTATTCGAGCACGGAATTCCCTGTTCAAATATGGAATTCCGTATTCAAACACGGAATTTCTTGTTTGAACACGGAAATATAAAATTCCGTGTTCGAACACGGAATTTCCGTGTTCCTTGTTCGAATACGGAATTTTAGTTTCGAACTATAAATTTAAATGGGGTATTTACAGGTTTTTCTTGGGTGACATGGGGATCTTGGGGAGGGATGGGTAAATACAGATTCATTGAAAATCCTCATATTTTTACTTTTGCCGTATGTTGAAAAGAGGGATGGTTTAAGTAGTACCAAAAGTTTCGCTCTCTTTGGTCCCTGCATAATATTTTTCCTTTAATTTTAATTCCAGTTCATTTTTATTTCTTAGGTTCTAGACCCTGAGGCCTAAATTTCATTTAAATCGGATCAAAATAATGCGCTGTATAGCGTTTTAAAATTACCCTCCTTGCTCTCTAGAAACAAGTGAAGAAATGGGGGACCGGTTAAGAATTTTTTTGCTTATGTTTCTATTAAGTGGTACTATTAAAAATGATAGGGTTATCTACAAAAAACTGGTGATGACGTCATATTTTAAAAAATGATGACACGTCATAAAAAATATACTTATACCAAAATATGCGCATCTAAAAAACAAAATCCACTTCTGAATGGAAATTGACAAATAATTACCTATGTCCGTCGTGTATGGAAACCTTCCCCCACCCCGAATTTCCCAAGTCGTCCAAAAACATCCTGTAAATATGCTATTCAAAAATATAGCTCGAATAAAGAATTCCGTGTTTGAACACGGAATTACTAATTTCCGTGTTTGAATACGGAATTCCCTGTAGGAAGAGGAAAATCTGTAATTCCTTGTTCAAACACGGAAATTCCTTGTTCAAACACGGAAATTCCTTGTTCAAACACGGAATTCCGTATTCAAACACAGAATTCCATATTCACAACCTAAATTCCGCACTCAAACACGGAATTCCTTGTTTGTACACTGAATTCTTTGTTTGAACAGGAAATTCAGTGTTCGAATACGGAAAATATTATAAAATATTACACGGAAAAAAATGTGACTAGAAAATTTTACTACAATGTTGTAGTAGTAGACTTGTAAAAAAATACTTAACATTTTGTAGAAAATTTACTACAATTTATAGTTAAAAACTATTCATTATTGTAGTAATTGAATTGTCGAATAAAATGCTACAACAATAGGAAAGAAGTCCACAATGTTTAGTATATTTTTCTATTGTTTGTAGAAGTAGAAATTTATTACAATTATCGTAATTGGTACTACTAACTTCTGTAAAAATTTGTAGAAATATTAACAATTATCTCTGCAAAAAATAGTAATTTTCTCTACAAAAAATAGTAATACTTTACATCCCTTCTTATGAAAAAAATTCAATTTTGTTCAAAAATATTCTATAATATTGTAGAAATTCTAAATCATGTGAACAAAACAGAATTCTGCTATTGGCCAACGTTTCCTGACGTCGATCATAAATGGCCAGACAGCAGTAGCCGTTCGCCATGTTCACATAACAAAGCATGGTACATATACGAGTACCTATAACACATTATTATATTATAAGGACCGATGCGTTTGAGAAAATTTTAATAATAAATTCTATTGGTGGTAAGTACATTTATTATTGTTTCTGAATAATTTACCTTTAGAAAACTAATTTAAATAACCTTAGTAGATTATTTAAAAAAAAATAGTTGCGGCCAACGATCGAATTTTGTGCCCAGAGATCGAATTTTGTGCCAAGTTCAATGATGTTTTTTTGTCTTAATTGTGACATACCTACTTTCTCATTTTTGTTAGTTATCTGACTTAGTCATTAAATATCCAAATCAGTGTAAAGGTGATAAATATCCCCGTTTTAAGAGTATGAACAGTTCAATTGGTATTCATTTTTATTTCATATTTTTCAGGTGCAGAAAAGCCAACTGAGACTGAGGGCGCTATTATTACTGTTATTTATTACATAATGTAATTAAGACTTTGTATCTTTTATATTAAAACAATAAATTGAATATTTTATTAAGGAACCTTTTTTTTCTAGGTTATAATTATAATAATTATGGAATACTACTACAAATTTTATTAAAAATTACTACAATTTGTATGAATTTTTACTATTTATTGTGTAAAATTTTCGTATTTATTTTCATAAAACGCAATACATTTTTAATATAAATTCATACAATGAATAGCAAAAATTATAACAATTTTTAGAACAATTCTTACGATGCATTTGGATATGTTTACTAAATATTGTAGATAATAACTCTACAATACATTCTCCACAAATATTTGGAAATTTTTACTACAAATTGTCCCTGTCCCTATATGTACTATTTATTGTAGAGAAAAAATCTATAATTGTAGAAATTTGTTCTACAATTTTTTTTCCGTGTATAAATTAGTTGATTCATTTTTTTGGGTTAATCTTACATCAAAACTTATTTAAAATCAGCAAATACCTATTAAATTAAATAATAATAAAAGTTACAAAAATTGTAATTAAAGATTTCTAACAATCTTGCTAAGTTGGCTGTGATTGACTGACATTCTTGACTGATTGTCTTTATTCTATTCGATATTTAAACTGAAATAAGGTAAGTAAAAATATATCTATTTAATATTTAGGTAATTATTATATTATTGTAGACATTTTCTTCAGAAAACAAAACTTCATTTTAACAATGGATTCATCTAATTCTGATGATTATTTCGAAAATACTCCACCTAATATATTGGATGCAGCACAGAATGCTTCGAAAGATTTATTGCCCCAAAATGAGCCAACATTTATGAGTCGAAATATAATTTCTTTATGGAATGGTGTAAAAGAAATAAAATTACCAAATATTCTGAGAATATCCTGGTGACATATTTTTCAAGTGACTTAAAACTCTATAATCCATCCACAACATGGTCGATATTTTCTATGTTAAAAACAAAATCAAAAATAATATTGACATATCTAAATATAAATTAGTTAGTTTTGTAAAAAACAAGAGCAAGTGGTACAAGGCTAAAAAATCAAACATTTTACAAGAAAATCACTTGATAACTTTTCTCAAAAAGGCTCCAAATTTAATTTTTTAATGATTAAAGTAAGCATAATTTACAATAATTATTATAAGTATATTTAAACTATAAAATATTTATATATTATTAATAAACACTGCTTGAAGAAAATGTATATAAAACTTTTATTTTTTGATAGAACTTCCGGTAGTAGAAAAAATATTGTATGCAATTCGTGTGTAAAGTCCCTTTTTTGACTCATGTGATTGTTGTGCTCGCCTACGGCTCATGCGACAATATTCACATTCGTCAAAAAAGGGTTACTTTACACACTAGTTGCATAAATAACTATTTCTACACCCTAGGTAGTTAGAATACTGCAAAAAATGAAATTCACCAGTCACAGTTCATATTTTGGACACCCAACTACTATTATTTCTAAAATTTTGAATAAGCTACAATTCTGTCAAACTAATAGTCAGTATATTTTTTACTTATTGGTATTAAATATATTGTAATGATATTCATTTTAATAAAATTAAACCAATATCCCAGTAAATATTTTAATTTAATTAAATTATTTCTTTACTAAAATCTGTAAAAAAAAATATTTATAAAATGGACAGCTAGTATATTTATAATTATAAACTGGGACAACTAGTATAATTAGTTCTTGTCAACTTGACATGAGATATGAGAACATGTATCTGATTTTGAAAAATAAATTTTATTCAAATTATATGAAACTAATTTAATTACGAGTATTAAAACTAAAATCCTAAAAGTGACAGTGCAGCTGAGGACAGAGCATCTGCCTGATTCGCGAAAAGCCTGGAATCGAATCTGGACTGGGAACTAATTAAATTAAATATTTTTTTTATATTTATTTTATAAATTAGTAAAATTCGTAAATTATTTTAAAATTAGTTATTTTGTATTAATAACCTGAAATATTTTTTTAAATTTGTAGATTTTCGCTAGTGGGTCGTAGAAAAAATATACTCGAGTAGATTGTCCATATCCACTACTATTTTAATCGTAATGCTATGAGTAAAAGTATATAAGTGCTTACCTGAGCTTGTCCACAAAAGAACTGTCCTAACAAAAAACAAATCCAAAACCACATTTTTTTTTTTTAAATATAAGTCCAACAATAGAGTTCAGTGTTTAATAACAGGCAATTTTTTTTGCGTTTTCTTTTATATGAAGACAAATGTGAATATATTAACCGAGTATTTATAATAAATGTTTCCACATGATAAGAAATAAAACAAAATGTTGTTTTTCAGGAAATAGTTTTTCATAATGTTTAAATAATTCAAGAATAAGATAATATTTAATTTCGTGGACTACAAAGATAAATAAATTGGTCTCTAAAGTTAGAAATTAGATCCATTGTTCCTAATTAAGAATTCAAAGAAACGATTTCAAGCAAACAGACTACTGAAAGAAAGAAAAATGATTTTGTAAAAAAGTAAAAATAATGTTATTTCAAAATAAATTGTTACTACTTGTGAAGCGATTGTATAAAAATACAGTAAGCGAAAATTTTTCGCGGCGCATTCACCATTTTGTCAAATTCTTCATTTTTTCCTCAGTACTACGGATATTCGAGATTGAGATTTTTGAAGTGTTACTATTACTTTATTACCTAGTTATATTACCCAGCTATAAAAAAACTTACCATTGAAAAGCTTCCTTGATTTATTTAAACGTAAAAAAAAGATTTTACTGAAGTTTTTTTTTTATTTTTTCCACCCTTTTTCGCACAGTTGACACAGCAGTTGACATTAATTTAAACTTAAGATCTATTCGCCTATCCTAAATGGCTGCAAATTAGTCTATAACATCGACGTAAAATTTTGAATTTTCTGATAACTGTTTAACAAGCCTTCTCTTAATGGATATTAGGGCTAAATTAGAGAGTCTGTCTTGACTTGTTAAATCTTGTATAAAACTTTTAATGCGCTTTAGAGCTGAAAAACTTCGCTCAACTGACGCACTGGCTGGGATGGTTAGTACTAATTCACACAGTTTGACGACTTCACAAAGGGACTTAGTTAAACCAGTTTTTACAAGAAAAATTAACACATTGATGGGGATCTTTTTATCACTAATTTAAGTTGTTTCATAAACAACACTTAACTGGGACTTTAATTTTGGAATATCGACAAAATTTAATTTTAGTGAATTAAAAGCTTCCGATGGAAATTTTGATGAATCGTAGTTACTAATATTAAAATTGCACAATTCAACAAATTTTAATTCGTTAAAGTTTTGAAATCGAGAGTTCATTTGTCGTAAAATATTATCAAAAATTTCGGCGTATAATCGACGATGCCAACATTATCAATTCTAATTCTCTTTCTTTCAGGTTCTAAGCCAATGTTTTGAGTCTTATTCCAAAAGTGTTCAAACTGATCTCGTTTTTATTCATTTTATTTTTAAAATCATCAATTTGTTTAATGCAAAAGTCAATGTCATTTGACTTTGTAAAATGTCAGTAAAAGGGAAAATCTCTGCAAAAATGTTGAGCAAAAAATTGAAATCAAAGTTTTGTTTGAGCCAAAGCAAATACCCTTTAGCAGCAGCAAAAGTTTCACTATCCCATGTTTCTTTATTATCCCAAACGTCTTGAAAAAAGTGTATTAAAGAATCACGGTATTGAAAGACTGTTTGCACTAAACGTTCATTGTAGTTCCATCGCGTCGGAGCAACTTTTGTCCAAAGCGCGAGTTCTTTTCGATGACTTTGAAAAGAAGGAAGCCAAACCACTAAGCGTCAAAAATAAAACTTTGCAATCTTTAATAATATCCATGCTTCGCGATAAAACCAAATTAAATCTATGTGCTATACAGTGAACGAAAATTGCATGTTTAAACTTCTCTTTCACTTTAGCTTGAAGGCCTCCTAAATGGCCAGCCATTACGGCAGCATCATCGTAGCTCTGGGCAACAAGCTTAGAATCACATTCTAAACTTGAAATAATGTCACAAACAATTTTAAACAATGCATCTGCAGTTCGTTCGCTAGTGACGTCCAAACATCCTAAGAATTGCTCTTGAGGAATGCCATCCAATACATATCGCACAACAATGGATAATTGACTTAAGTTTGCTACATCTGTGGTTTAATCAAGCCCAATTGATACTAAATGTGTTTTTTTTAATTTCACTTTTAATGTGATTCATCACAACGTCGGCAGTGCATTTAATTAAATCATTTTGGATTCTGTTTGAGGTACCTCGGAAAGTCGTCGAATCAATCAAATGATTTTTCAGGATTTCATCGTACTTTGCTAAAAAACTTAAAAGTGTAATCTCCTCGATTGTCGGATCTACTTGCTTCATTGTGACCCCTAAAATTTAGTTTATGCTCTCCCAGGAAACAAGTTACATCTATTAATCGTTGTAAGACGTCCCTATTTTTTTTACCCTTTCATTGTGAATTTTGTTGCTTATTTTTAAATGATTGTCCAAACTATGTTCAATGCGATATGTCCCGAATGTTTTTTTTTAATTATAGCACTTATATGAGATTTGCTATTTACATTTCGTTTTACACTTTTATGAAAATTATTATTTAAGTCCGTAATACCGACTGAGTTCCAATGTGTTTTTTCGGCTATATTTAAAAGTAGGCAAGGCCAGCAAAACAATTTCTTCAAAGTTTTGCAGCCGGTTAACCAATCATACTTTTCATAGAACCCTACGTGAACATGCCTGGTAAAATTCTTTGCTGACTTTTCTAATTTCGTCTCTAAATTGATAGGATCCTTTAGTCTACTAGAATTAATAATGTCCTTTTTCTCTTCAAAATTTCTACTTGAAAATCCTTTTTTCAATAAAGAGCACACAATACAGACACAATTTACCACATTATTATTGTTCACAGGCACAGTGCATAGTTTCTCCATTTTACAAAAAGAAAAATAGCTACGAAAAACAAACCGAAATCTATCTAAAGTCTACGATTTTCCTCACACGTCGATTCGCGGTGCGAATTGCAATATGTGTAAGGCGAAATAAAAATCACTGCCTCTCGACCGTATTTCACGTGTACAAAGAGACTGATACTGTCGAGGCAAAGCAGGTCAATAATACGAAGCAAAATCAATTGGAAGATGAGCCGGCTTGCCGGGTTTTTCAAGGCGCGCTTCCGCCGACGGACTTGAAGTTCCTATATGGTGTGCGCATTTACCCAATTAATTTTCTCATGGGTGGTGCGTTTACACCAATGAATTGTTAGTACATTTACGAATTTTACGTAATGTTTCAGAGAAAATATAGTACCTAATTTAATAATAATTTCTATGCATTGTAAACTGAAAAATATTTATTTTTAAATCTCAAAGTGTAGGGAAGCGGTGCTTCCCCCGCTTCCATGGACCGCACGACCCTGGATCCACTTATCCAAATAAAACAACAAGAAGCCAACCCTATAGTGTAAATGGATTATAATTTTGTAAAAACTAATTAAAATCAAAAAAATATCAATTCGCTTATTTTGAAAAATAGTCTAACCGATCATTCACCAATAAGCGGTTTTTTTTTAAACTTTATATTACCGATAAACAAAACAAATTATAATATATTATATAAATAATTTACAAATTACCCCGCTTTAAGAAAATGATCTTAATATACAACATTGGGAAAATGTTTATACTGAAAATAATGTCAAAAATAATAATTGCAATATTATATTAAAAAGAACACAAATAGAATAAAAGTTACAAAGTAAGATAGCCCTAGAAAACCATGGGTTACAACAGAACTTATAATATCAATCAATATAAAAAACAAAATTTATAAACAAATAAATGATGATCCTCATAACATAGTATTAAAAAATAATTATAACACACTAAAAAATAACCGTACTAAGGAAATTAATAAGGCAAAAACAAATACACAAAATCACAAAAATGGCTATAACTGAAGAAATGTATGGTAATATGTAAACCAAATTTGAAAAAAAAATTGAAAATATAAGTATTAATAATAACATTATTACTGATAAATATAAAATCACTAATCATTTTAACACCCATTACAGTGATTTGGGAAGAAATTATGCTAATAAAATAACAACTCCTATCAACTACGTTGCCCACATCGAAAAAGTGGAAAATTCAATTTAATCAAAAGTTACTTATCAGGGCGTACAAAAAAGTTAAAGTAGATGATTTGATAGTAAAATTAGAGAAGTAACCTTCAGTGTTCCGCAAGGAACAAACTTAGGTCCCTTACTTTTTAGTTTGTTTATTAATTCACTTTTAAAAATGAAATCGGAAGGCACTGTTATCAGCTTTGCAGATGATACAGCCATCCTATACATGGGAAAACCTTTTAAATTTTGCATACATGCATTAGAGGACGTTACGAATCAAACGGCTCTATTCAAATTTAATTTACGCCTGATGTAAACAGAAGCAGTAGAACGCTAAAATTGAGCAGGGCCGTATTTTACTTTTCCGTCTTGCAAAAATGTTATATAAAAGAATGTAATTGTGAAATTATTTTTTTATTACGATAAAAACATATTTTGTAAAGTAAAACTATAAAATAAATGCCATACACGGTCTCCCAGACTTTAGTGACATTTCTAATTTTGGTAGGGTGTTTGAAAACCACTCTTTGAACGATTCTCCACACATTTCTTCATGGTAGTCACCAGATTTTTCAACTCAAATACATAAAGTGCATTAGAGACAAAGCCTTCTTCACTTCCAATATGGCATATAATGAGCTGTTTTTACGCACATACAGAGCCACTAATTTGTTTATAACGTAGCTTTCTTTTTGGTTCAGAAAATTTATGAATCTGCCTATACTCCTTCATAACATTAAAAACGGTTTTAGCGCACATCCCTGTTTTATCAGCAACTCTCCTTTCAACATCATGTACCAACATATCAGGGTTCTATAAAATTTAATGCTTATAAATATTAAGAACCATTTCTTTAGTACGGATGACCAAATGTCCCTTTTTCAGTCGCTTTTTAGAAGGAGTAAAAACATTTTTCTGGACTTCATCTGCTGTATCTGTGGAGGACATAGTGTCACGCAGCAATTACAAAATATAGTCAATTAAATGTCCATAAAATAGAGTAAAACATGTTCAAACTAACAACAACCACAAAAACAAAAAAAAAATAACACAATATATGTATGTCGGATATCGGATATTTA